TATATGTTGATTTGTAAATAATTAAATAAAAAAAAACTATAAATTAAGATGTCATTAAATTCCTTTTATTGTGTACATTATAAATATGTTTTTTTTTTTCTTGTTTTTTTTATTGCGGGATTAAAAATGTATAAAAATAGGCAAGTAAGCATAAATAGAGATAAGATTTAACTGATTTACAAAAACGTAAATATTTTCTTTACTAAAGTGAAATGAACCTTGCCTTATACCAAGTATTATCCGAGAAAAAATTGTCAAATGCAGTCATTTAAAATACCAAATTTACTAATTGTAGACTTTAAAAAAAATAATATTCAGTAAAATTAATTTCAATTCAATAAAATAATTTCAGTCAGTAAAAATAAGTTCAATTCAGCAAAAATAATTTCAATTCAGTAAAAATAATTTCAGTTCAGTATAATTCAGTTAATGTAAAGAAGAAATATAATAGGGACTCAGTAAAAATAATTGCAGTTCAGCAAAAATAAGGTGAAGTGAACAGGGCCTTAATTGACGCAAATTTCCTTTTTTTTTTCCGACTAAAATCCCCTAAAATTAACATCATTTATTTTCTTTTTCCCCTCCCTTCTTTATTTCATTATGTTGCACCACCGACTACTTACTACTCACTTTTTATCACAACCATATATAAATGGCGAACAAGTCACCTTTTTACCATCTTTAACCCTTTTCTAACAATTTTAATGGAGTTTCACTATTTGATTCATTTTATCAAACTTTGTTTAGAGGAGAATAGATTATCGATGGAAGTATTGAGTTGAATCTCTCCAATATTCACAAATTCAACATTTTTGGAACAAATTGGGAGGGAAAAACCCAAATCTCTCTCCCACCTCTTTCCCATATTTTGTGTTTTTCAACAACAAAACTCTTTACGGTTTTTAAATCCCAGTTGCAAGAAGTTTTGTGCAACCTAACAAAACACTTGAAGGATGACAAAATACATGATGTCATTTTCAAGAAATTGTGGCTGAAGAATTAAAATGGGTATCAATTAACAACATATTAAAACTTTTAGGGTGGAATTTGTAATTTTTTATTTAAAATGTTGCAATTAGCAAAATAAGTAATTAAAATGGTTGCATTTGAAATTTCTTTCATTATCTTAATAATCATGATCTTATCTAATTTGGACTTTTTAGACTTTGTTTATTTCACCTTATTTTGGCGGATTTGATTCATTTACTTGACCAATTTTCTTTGCATTACGAAATTAAAAATATTTAGCTGAAAAAAGTTGCACATAAACAAATAAAATAACTTACTCTCTTTCTCCCTAAATATAGTTCACGTTTGACTTTTTCCAGTCTCTAAGTTGTGTCTTTAAAAAATCAATATCTCTATATTCATACGCGTAAAAATTATAAAAACTTGGATATTAATAAAATATAAAACGTGACTAATCTAACAAGTTCCCACATGAACATATAATTTTTTATAAATTAACGAGAATTTATGGTAAAAGTTTTCAAAGTTTGACCCAAATAAGTCAGCTGAGAACTATATTTAGGGACGAAGAGAGTATTTATTTTTCTGAAAAGTATAAGAACTTATTTATACTTTTTCATATTAAAATGTGTTCCTAAAACAGAATATGTGTCAGGTGTCACCCTTTTAAACTCTATAAACGTGCCAAGTCTTCAATATATGCCACGTGTCATGTATTTAAACACTATAAATATGATATGTTACCTCCGCAATAAGAATTAGATTTGACATTTAAAAAATGCTTATAGCATGACTTGAACTTGAGAACAATAAGTACTGCGATACAAGTCTTACCACCTTAGCTAACAATATATTGTGTGAATTTATCCAACAAAATTATAGTTAACTTGGATAAGATGATTAGTCCTTAATTGTACTATTTGTTACATATCATTGGATAATTTAACAACTTATGTTAAATTTTGTTACAAATATTGAATATGGTTCTCCTAATACAAATCTTAATTCAAAATATTACATTTTGAAGATAATTATCAATACATTAAGCAAAAATAATCAAACGTTAATTACAAACTAGCAATTCGGGCCATCACCCGAGCCACACACTAGTTAAACAAAATTAAAACTTGCTCCATATTATAATTGTATATTAAACTTAAATAACATACTTATTTTCTCTAAATTTATTTTGTCTAAACTAAACTAAAACTAAACTTTTTTATGTTCTTTTGAGCTGTTTTGCTCAGCTCTGTTTAGCAATGTATTGGGAAGCTCTAATCTACTTTGCTGAAATCAGCTCAGCTCACCCAGTCCTTTATCTCAAAAGAACCGTACTAATTCTAAAATAAATGAAAATAAAGTGAACACTAAGACCCCGTTCACTTCATCTTATTTTTGATGAACTGAAACTATTTTTATTGAAACAAAAGTATATTTGTTGAACTTAAATTAATTTTATTAAACTTAACTTAATTTTACTGAACTGAAATTATTTTTACTGAATTTCAATTATACTTATTCTTTACAAAATTGAATTTTAGTGAACTAAACTTATTTGAACTAAACTGAATATTTTTTTTTTGGTGTTTAGAGAGCCACAAGGGCGGGGGTGAGAATCGATTCCAGGATCTCCTGAAATCGGGAGGGAAGCTCTAACCACTTGAGCTATCCCTCACTCTTTGAAATTATTTTTATTTAAGCAAACTTAGAGGGTGTTTGGTTCACATAATTAAGGTATAAGGTATGAGTTTAGAATGATTTAATTCATACCTTATGTTTGTTTTATGATTTTATGAGTTTCAAACCCATACCTCAAATCCCCAAGGTATGGGGTTTAGAAACCTTGAGGGGGAGGTGGGTTTGGCTCATTCCCATACATTTAGGCTTAAATAAAAGAAAACCATTGCATTTTATAATTATACCAAACATATGGTATTAAGAATCAAGTTCCAAACCCATACCATTATGGTTTCATTCCTAATTTTCAACCCCATACCACTTTGCGAACCAAACGTCCCCTTAACTTATTTTTACTAAACTAAAATTATTTTTATTTAATATTAATTTTTTAAGGTGAAATGAGCCGGGCTTAAGCAAGGGCTATAGACCTATAGTATTTTTTTTTGAATAGAATATAGACCTATAGTATATTACTCCCTCGTTTTTAAATACTTGCTACATTTCTATTTTTTGCACTATTCATTTATGCTACTTTGACTAATGTTTGTGATTCATACATAAGAAAATATATGGTCGTGTGGGTACTTGTTGAAATCATCTCAATGAATAGATTATTAATTTTCAATTGTTAGGAGTTATACCTATTGATAATTAAAGATATTCAATGCGTGGTTCCTACACCCAGGTGTACTATGCATGCACATGGTACACCTGAATTTTGAATTTCAAATTTTAAATTTCATTTTCAAAATGTTATTATCAAAAATACTATATTTAGTTCCCTTTCTTTAAAAAAAATATTTTTAAAATATTTTTTCACCAATTTTTTTAAAAAATTTAATTGTAATATTTATTTTAATGATTGTTCTGTGTACTTTTTATGAGGCTCTTTATATGACTATATAATGTTCTTTATAAAAAAAATAATTTTTATTCTCTAAAATTATTTCACCGAAAAATAACTTAAGATTTCGTTTTTAAATTTCAAATTTTAAATTTATAAAATTTCGTTTTCAAAATTTTAGTTTTCAAATTTTTTTTTTTTATTTCGTTCATATTTTTCACCTTTAATATATAGTTACAATATTCATTTTAGGGTTGGTATATATAAATTTTTTGTGATGTTCTGTATGTGATTTAATAATGTTCTCTATTAGAAAACATGATGTACTTTATAGTTGTTTGTAATGTCCAATTATTTTGTAAAACTATATCTTTTCCTTATGTCCATAATTATATCATATAATGATTTTTATTAGATTTTTTGATAGTTTATTTTAATTGTCCATTTTTTTTATTGTAATTGCATTGTACTTTTATCGTCACATAATGTTCATTGCTTATTGTTAAATGTTTTTTGAATTTTTTTTGGATCGTCGTAGTTATATATATAAGTTATGTTCATTACATAATATTATCACGTTCTTTAATAATATTACGGATGTTCTTTAGATATGAAACAATCATCAATAGAGGAGATCTCAAAAGAATATTGTCATCAACCTTCACAATCTCGATTTTAAAAAAATATATACTTAGTTAGTGATTATTAATATTAAAAAATATATATATAGAATTAATAAATGATATATTATTTAAAAATACACAATAAATCAAAGAACATCTAAGCAAAGAATATAAAGGATAAAAATAAAGAACATTCATATAATTGTTCAAAAACTATAATGACGAACATAAGTACAATTTATAAAGAACATCATCTTCAACATTTGACAAAATATAAAGAACATCATCTTCAACCTTTGACAAAATAAAAGAACATCATCTTCAACCTTTGTCATATGGATCTCAAATTCATAAATATCAAAACTGAAAAAAAAACGACGATATTTTACAATAATCGTGCAAAATAATCACGAAATATAATCAAGCTAATAAGCAAAATCCTGAAATTAAAATCATAACAAATAAAATCAAATTACCTTCTCCGATCCATCGATTACAATATTGCCATAATTTACTCTGTATTTTTCTCTCTGCAAAATTCTTTATAAACTTTATTCTCTCTTAATTCAAAATTGAAATATGGTGAAATTTAATTTTGAAATTTATGTAAAAATGGAGAATATCAAGTTGAATCCCACGAATTGAGGTAGAGATTGATTTTTTTTTTTAAAAAATAACAAACTGACAACTTGCAAATGATATGTTAAAAACGCATCAGTTAACACTAGGTGTACCATGAGCATAGTACACCCTGGTGTACTATACAATTTTCAAAGATATTAGTTATCAAATATTAGCATCGACATGCGTGTCCAAGAGAAATGGAGCATATATTTAAAAACGGAGGGATATCCTCTTTATACATACTTGTACATTTTTTTTTTTGAGGGAGCCCATTTAATGTCTGAGATTAACATTTAGTGAAACCAAACAAGCGTGATTAAGGGGTTGATATCCTCCTCGTATTTGAGATCTATTGTAGTGCTGCCAATCACTATTGGATGCCTGAAATTCACAACACCACCTCTTGATCGATTTCAATCTTCTTCCCCAATTTCAATTTAGGTTTTCCTAAAACTTCAAATTCACTCAAATCAAGTTTCGAAACTCTGTAAATCTTCAAGCTTTTGGAAAATTCAACAATGGCGGATGGAGTTTGGGGTCGACAGGGACCCTTGTATACGTCTTCTGGCATGCTTAAACGCCCTCGCAACGATTACGGTAACTCCCTCTCTCCTCAAAATTTTCTTTTGCTATATGAATTTGAATTTGGCGATTGTTTATAATCTAGGGTTTATCCTGTTTATTGTAATTATTGGTTGATTTATCTAATTTTAGTTGATTCATCAAAATATGGTTGATTGATTTGTTGCGATTTCAAATCACACTGTAAGGCTGTTTTCGCGGTAGGAATTGACATTTGGTTTGGGAAAAAACACTATCATCGTTAAACAATGATCTCTTTGTGAAATTGTGATTTGTTCATTGCGTAAAAAGTTGTAAATTGACTGTAATTGTTGTCTTGCGTTTCGGTTTCTTCGTCGTGTTTGATTAAGATGTTTGTTTCATGTTAAATTACAAGCCTGTTCCTAATCAAAGAAGCATTTGATGCTAAAGAAGAGAAATTTATTTCTCCAGTGGCAGGAGATTTGTAGGAGTATGACAAAATTGATATTCCACACATGGTTTTCGTTGTTATTATTTTTTTGAACTTGAAATGAATTCGCTTTATTAAAGTTGAATTTTTTTAAAAATGGGTGTGGTCTTTTCTACAAGAGTCTGGATGACAATAACCTTTTGTGAATTGCGACTTTCTGGAGCTATTTTAGTCGGGTGGGGATGGGAGTGGGTGGAAGGCGGGTGTGTGTTAGAAAGATCGTAGAGAATAAAAGAGAGAAATACGTAGAAAATGGGTTGTAAATAGGGATGAGAAATGATACACTGCCACGGACTATCTTTATCTTTGTTTTGGAAGTTTGTTGACAAGTCAGCATTAGGGAATGGCTTTACGCATTAATGTTGAAGTAAATGGATTTGAAGCAAAGGGATTTGCATGAGAATGAGCTATTTGATTGTAAGGGATGGAAGAGGAAGATTTTTGTGGATGACTATATGGAATAATCACTTTTGGTTCATGTAGCCAACCCCACTTATGGGATTAAGGCTATGATTGATTGATTGACGTTGAAGTAATTTTTATAGTTGGATAAAAATTAATGTGTGTATGATATGATCTGTTGGAAAATTTTCTAAAGCATCATTTTGATTCAATATCCATGCATAGGATCTGATAAAAAAGGAGGCTTATTCTGGTATGGTTATTGATGGGAAAATCCTGTGCTGGAACTCGTTAGGTTAACTGAGTGGGCACCCAAGGTCATTTTAATCAAAAAGCAATATGGAACAATGTTAGTTGCTGTTGATTGCTAGATTTTGGAACACATAGCTCTGTTTTACCTTGTTAAAGAACAAACCACAGGATTCATTTAGTGCATCGTAGTTGGCAAAAGAGTGATTAGTATAAAGCTTCTTCAAAGTATTGATATAGCAACTAGTTAAATTTCAGTTAGTTGAATGAGGGGCTTAGTACAAAGGTTATGTGATAAACTAGTGGGAGGTGAATAACACTAAATCCACTTTTTGGAAAATTTAATTTTGAACTTTGCACTTTGACGTGTAGCTTGGGAAATTAAAATCTTTAGTTAAGGTGATGATTTTCTATTAAGCTCATGAAAGATTGGGTAGGCCAACTAGAATACCACATAGTATATCACTTGTTAAAAAAAAGATGGATGGAAGCTTTAAAGTATTCATGGCATATGAAAGAAAATTTATCCACTTTTGCAGGTGAAATAAGCTGAATTCTTAGACCCCTACCCAAATTTTATATCCCTTTTCACTAATCACTTTTCAAGTTCAACTTTGTCAGTCCTTCAAATTTCGATTAATAGCAACTTTAATTTTGATAGAATTCTCTGAGAAAGAACAATATGATTCAGATATGACTATGATCATCATAACTTTTTGTGTTGGAGGAGGACATTACTATATGCAAGACTAATCAAAGGGCTATTTGATTTTTGTAATGTTTGTTTTTAGACTGAGAAATGGATTATTGGATTGAGGTTTAGACTTTTGAAAGTCTTTATTTTCATAACTTCTACTGGTTGTGGGTTTGTTGTGGACAATTAATGGATGGAGCAAGCTGTGCGTCCCCCTCATAATTGGTGTTTAATGTAGGGCTAACTTATGCTTGACATGTGTAAATGTTCTCCTGTCTCGAAACAGTTTAATTTAAGCCAAATTTGATAATAAGCCATCTTTGATATTATTTTGGACTTTTGGATATCAGAAGGTTTCTTCTGACAATTATGTGATTGGCTCTTACACCCTTAACTGAGATACAGAGATAGTGATATTGAGGTTGCCAACTTATACTCTGGTTCTGGGTTTAGACTGGAGAGTAAATTTTTTTCACAAGGGCCTTTTGTGGATGATGAGTGCTGGTATGAGTTTCTTGAGTTTGATGTCAAGTTTTTCATAAGGTATCCTCATCTCCAGCTTTATTATATGTAAGGTCATATGTCAACTTAGATATGTTTATTATGGAGACTTGGAGAGTTTTGTGTTAAGAATAAAAACAAGTCCAACAACCTATATACTAGTACATTATTTCCTGTAGTCCTATTTATAATATTAAATATGGACATATGGTATTCTAAAGACTTGTGAATAGAATCAGCATATGTTTTGTATTTCTGTTTTCTTGTTGTTTTGCTTGATGTGTTGCGTTATAGATTCTCCTGCTCTGTATATTGATACATATAAATGCTTTTAAATATGAAAAAGAATGAGGACGAGTAAAGTAGGCCTACCCTCTTATGGAGTTTGTGACTTAAAATTTTAAACTTATTACATAAATATTTATAGCATTATAGGTACTGTAAACTGTTGAAGGGTAAGATTAAATCTACTGGAGTTATATGAATTTAGCTGATTGGTAACTGTGTTGTTTCATAGCACTAGTATTTTTTGCTCTGGTAGATATAGTTTATTGCAAAGTGTTATGTAGCTTCTGATTTAACAAGTTCATTCATTAGTATTAAAAACCAATTTTGGAAAACGAAAACTTGAATGCAAGCTATGAAGGTGATGGTTACATGGTTGATATGTCAGAGAATTACATAAAGTTCTCTTAATTTATTAGAATAATTCTTCCTTGGGCCTTTGTTTTTTGGGTTGGTCAATGGTGTCTATGAAGCTGTTGGTAACTTGGATGATATTGTAGGTTTTTTTTTTTGAGTGAGAATTAAGTTTGCATGATACTTGGAGTTGATATTGCTTTATTTTTGTTTTCCTGTCTCAAGAAGGCTATAAATTTGGAGATTGATGAGCGTTTCAATTAGCTACTTCCTCCGTTAAATACTTGCTCCATTTCTCTATTTCTCCATGCGCGGAGTTTTAGGAGAAATTAGAGAAAGTAATAAAATATGGAGGTAGTGGGGTTGGTGGACGAATAAAAAATTGTAAAAATCAAAAGTAATTGAGAGAATTGAAGGAGAGAGAGTATGAAATTAATAAAATACAATTTATGCTGAGTCCACTAGTTAAGAGAAATAAATTAAATATTGTAAAAGCTTTCCAAATAAGGAAATAGAGCAAGTATTTAAAAACGTCTGGAAATAGGAAGTGGAGCAAGTATTTATAAATGGAGGGAGTATTTACATTTGTATTAATTTATACATTCTCCGATTAATTTTTATTTTTTTTCCTTATATCGTATTCAGGATGTCCCCAACTAAACTCGTATTTACCTTTTAAGGTATTAAAGTTTTATTTTTTCTCGCTGTAAATGTTTTTAGTAAGGAGACATGTACTACCTCCTTTCTTTTATGTTCTACTCATATACTATAGATACGCAATTTAAGAAATCGTTGAAGAATGTGAGTGGGTGTAAGATAAAGGAAGAGAGAGAATGTAAAAATGTGGGTTTGTGGTAATAAAAGTTAGAATAAGTTAAGAGAGATTACGGAAAGGTATAATTATTATGGGGTTAAAGGGGTAAGATAGTTAATGGGGTAAGCCATAAATAGAGTAATGCAAAGTGAGTAGATTATAACAAACGTCCTAAAATAGAAAGTGAGTAGAACAATAAGAATGGAGGGGTATATAAGTATATAACAACTTTGATGAAAAAAGAGAGAAATGTGTACAGAAAAGAGTAAAGTAATATGTCACATAGAGGCCCACTAGATGGTTTTTTTTGTTTGTTTGTTTGTTTTTTTTTTTTGGAGGTATTAGATTGCAAGTTTATAGGACTTGGTCCTATGTTTACTACTTGCAAAAAGTTGTTAGCTAAGCTATACCTGTCTAGCACTCCCTTCATCCTACTTCTAGTCTTATTAGGTCTTTTCAAATTACATACAAAATGCAATACTTCTATAATGCCCATAAGTATCCACCATCCCACTAACTTTAATTAAAAATGCGCCACTATCCAGTAACTATCACAAATTCAATTAAGAACTCCAAAATGATGAGTTAATTGCATTGCAAGGCTTGAATTCCCATTTTTTCTTCTCTAGTATGGTAAATGACTTTTCAGCTAGCACATCCTAAATGGAATGCTAGTTTCAGTAGCTTTTTCAGGATGGCTGCAAGTTTTTTATATTCAGAATTTGGGTCATTGCATAGGGACATCTAACATCTGATGTTACCAAACATATGTTTTAAACTGTGCTTCCACACACAATACAAATAGCCAAATGGAACTTTCAACAGTCATGGGTTAATCAAGATTAATTGCTTATAATCAGTATATTATTGTAAGAACTTAATAATTTTAATCTTATGAGTGTATATTTAAGACAATCTAGTGATGAAGATATTTTAAATTACTGACAATATATTGGTCAAAGTTGACTCATATTTACCCTACTCTTATTTTGAAGAAGTGGCCATCTTTCTGCCAATAGGCTTGTACCTTTTAGGGTTAAATTATGAAATGGACACATACAAGGATGAAACTCATTTCTGCTACCCATGCATAGGGCTATTGAGTTAATCTCCTTAATTCTGTTGAACTAAAATTTTAATCATGATCCCACAGAGCTGCCTCCTTCACGGATAACACCTGCACTTGATATGCGTGACTATTTAATACGAGACGATGAACGAGGAGGACCCAGGGTTGCAAAGGACTCACAAACACTAGGGTCAGCGTATGACCGTTATCTCCAAAGAACGGTAGTCTCTTCGATCCTATTGAGACACTTTATCGTTTTCTGTTTGGCCTATCCATCTAATTGCTGAAGTGCACACTACTTTTTTTTTTCTTTTCATTTTCCCTTCTTCTCTACCAAAGGAAGTTCCATCCTACAATGCTGGAGAAGCTAGTACATTTCCAGGAGCTTCATTGGGAAGGGGTATTTCAGTGGGAGAACCATCTTTATTGGGCCGCCCTGGATCTATGGCCCCAGATGCAGCATCAAATGGACGAGATGTTGGATTTGGGGGTCAGCTGCGAGTTGATACGTTGGCCAGACCTGTACGCGAAACTGTACCTCTTCCTTCCGACGCTTCAAACACTCTATATGTCGAGGGACTTCCTCCGAATAGCAGTAAAAGAGAAGTAGCTCGTATCCTTTTTTCATCACATGCTTGACGACATATAGTTATACTGCATTATGACAGAATCAATAATTTTATTTGATAAGTTTCTTAACTAGTCTAGATATATTTCGCCCCTTTGTGGGGTATAAAGAAGTACGATTAGTGACCAAGGAGTCCAAGCATGTAAGTGAGCAATCGATTTCATCTCCTTATTTCTTCATACACTGGTTGCTACTTTATTTATTTATTTATTATTTTTTTAAAATTTTTTATTTGACCTCAATTACTCTGATTGTTGTTTCACTTATAACGAAAAAAAATTGTACTGTTTTTTGTACCTTGCTTTTCTTTTCTTATTTTTATTTTTATATAAAAAAATAGGAATATTTACAAATAAACTTTCAGCAATTTGACTAATTCATTGACTAGAAATGCCAGAGTCATGAGCATCAAAGTATTGGTGTATTGATTATTAAATGTTTTAGGGAAATGAGATGTGATATTTTTGGGTGTGAAAAATTTACTTATTGATTTGGCTTTATAACTTGTTGTTTGTATTCTGCACTTAGGAATCTCAAAATTGACCTGGTTTGAAAAACCCTAACCCAATCTGAGTCAAAGCCGTCAAAACAGACTTGAATCTTGACGTCCCATGAAAGGTTTTTAAAAAATTGCATTTCAGAACATAAATTAAGCTGAATTGTCTGAACCCAACCCAGTTTGCAAAAACAGCACAAAGGTGCAATTAACCCTAGAACCTGACTAGCTGATATTACCTGAATTAAACTACTTGAGTGAATATCTTGGAAGTCTGCTGAAAGTTTTGCCAAAAACCAACCTTAAACCTGATAAGTATGACCCAAACTCTACATATATTCTTTGTATTTATTTCTGGTAATGTAATTATTGCTAGATCTGATTATATTTGCATTTCTGTTGCCAATATACAATTTAATTATGCTTATTGTTATGCAGCGCGGAGGAGATCCTCTCATCCTCTGTTTTGTGGATTTTGTTGATGCAGCCTGTGCTGCTACAGCTTTAAGTGCCTTGCAAGGTAATTGATTATTTAGTCCCTGCTAGCCATGCTAGGCCACTACACTAGCTTTCCTCGTATGTTGAAGTAGTTTGGCCATGGTTGAGAATGCTTGCTGAAGCACAAAGAAGTGTTACAGTTTTTTCAATTAATATTTGAATTGGACTGAAAAGTTCCATTTTCTGCGAAATTTTGTTACATTTTCTTCAGTTGATACATTAATTAGACTGAAGGTTATAATCTCCCCTGTTAGGAGATTAATATCATATTACTGGTTTTAGATTTTCTAAGAGAGCTACCCTTCCTAATATATATAGCTAAATTATGATTAGATTTTTAAAATGGGCATAGCTATCTTTTTATTTGAGAGAGATAGGAGGGGGGGGGGGGAGGGGGGGAAGGTTAGTAAGAAGAATAGACTGAATAGGCGAATTATTGTAGTGTATTGGTAAAATTATGCTTATGAACAGTGGGGACAATGTGACATTTAGGACAAAAGAAATTATTTTGTGGCTTGTCTTCAAGCATTGCATTTATAATGACTCGTTATAATAACTAGTCCCTACTGACAGGTTACAAGATGGATGAAGATGATCGAGATTCTGCTTATCTACGCATACAGTTCTCTCGGCACCCTGGTCCTCGATCTGGTGCTGGATCTCGTGGGAGGCATTAGTGAATAAGATGGGGCAAGTGCGCTTTTTCTTAATCATGCTCCAATTTGGTGGTTTATTTTGCCCTATTGTATCATGGTTCTATGCCTGCCTTAAAGGTTATAGAGCATGCTGGAAGAGATGAGGAAAAGAAGATAAATATCGGCATCTGGATTGAAGTGGCGTAGATCTGTTAGCCTTTACTTCAATTTCTGGCATCCGCTGTGTGATGTGTAGTTTACGGCAGGTTTTTGTTTAAACCTGAGTGCTACTTATCTTAGTTATATTACCGTAAATTAATAGCTATAAATCCAACGAATGCATTAGCTCAGCTATTTCCTAATTGAGCGTATTATTAAGGTACTATTTCAAGGCTAGCTACTTGGTCGGAGATAGCTAATTCTTATGCTCCAAACATGGTTTTCAAAAGATGCAAAATTTGATGATACGCTATGATCTGCTTTGCTTACATAAGTTTTTAGTTCCAAAATTGCTTTATTCATAAACTGATTTTGGCACACCTATTAATCTATTATTGATTTTTAGCGTCGAATACAAGACCAGTGTTTTGCAAAACGGAAGTGACCATCAGTACTCGTTGGGAAAATGGACTAACTGGGCTGTATTGAAGAGAACTAGAACAGTCCGAGCCAAAAAAAAAACTTCGAATTTCCAATAAAACTGATATTGGGGAATCGTTCAAAAGGAACCCAAATTTCAGCTTCAGTTACATACTTTACATTCCTAGAGAAGCAAACTATGTTGCTGGCTACTTGGCTAAGTTAGCCATGGATATGGAGGAGGGAGAGAAGCACAATGACACTGCTCCGTGGTGTGCTAGGGTTGTGTACGTGGAAGATGTCAAGACAGCTACCCTTGATCGCTTTGTTTGTAATCCCTGTTTCGCCTAAGACTTTGTGGGATGATGGCAAAAGAAATGTTGGTTAATTTTGTTTGATATACTCTATTCTTACACTGTGTTTGGATAAAGAAAGGGGAAGGAAAAGAAGGGGAGGGAGGAATGGGAGGGGAGGGAAGAATTGTGAGTTTTCCTTCCAAATCTCTCCATTGTGGGAGGGATCATTTTCCTACAATTTAATCCCTCCATTTTTCTCCCCTCTAATTCCCATTCCTTCCTCGTTTGTTATCCAAATGAAAGATACCTCATCTCTCCATTTTCCTTCCCTTCTTTTCCCTCCATCCAAACACACCGTTAGAGCTCCCTTCTAAGTAATTTATAAGTTTGCTCTTAGGTTGGAAATATTAATAAATTATAATCTATGTACACTATATAGAGCTGTCTATACAAAGCAGTCAATGATTAGTTTCACTATTCTTTCATTTTCAATGGCATTTCCTCTGTTACTTTTGTTCTACCAACTTATTATTTGTGGGGTGAAAAGGAATATAAGAAGGTAATCAACCTTTAATTAGCTTTTTATCAAGTAAATACGAAACACTATTACGAAACACTGAAATAGTGTTTATAAGTGGTGTCGGGAATAGAAAAGCTATTTTGAGGCTTGAAGCTTCACTTGAGATATTTTTTGAGAAAAGTTTTTAACCATAAGATACCTTTTCCTAACTTGTGGCACAAGATGTAATCTAAAAGCCTGAATGCACGTTGGAATTTTGTAGTTAATAATTAGGAAACTTCAGTTTATCTCTGATTTATCACATGACATTTTGGTAAATAAATCAACAATTTTATTCAGTCATCATCATTGTGGGATCCACTTTTATTGAAAAAGTTGTTAATTTATTTACAAAATTGCCATATGATAAACAAATTTTGTGTATCTCAGAGATTAATTTGTATTTACCCGTTAATAATGACCAATAACATATTATTTGTTTAATATATATATATATATATATCTGTTCAGCTAGATAAAAAAAATTATGATTTAACGGTTGTACCATGTTATAAATACAAAATAAAATCTAAATCCCTTAGGAGACTTTGTTAAGAAAAAAAGTAAATAAAGTTTCTAGCTTTTGGTGCTCTAGTTGTAAGTCGAATATTGTATCATTCAACTACACATACTATGAATTCTAAGAAACTTTAATTTAACTTTTGAATGTGAAATTAACATCAAGTAGCATAAAAGAGAGTTAATTTCCTCAGGCATACCTTTTTAAATTGTTGTTAGGAATTTGTAAGTGCTTGAAAGAGTGAACACAAATGGTAAAAAAATTCTTCAAAGAGCACTTAATGATGACAATTGCCTTCTATGTGAAAAGTCAATTTGAGATGCATTTACTTCAATTCTCTTCATTCATTGCCATTATCTACTAGCTAGTACTATGCCAAAAAATTGATCAACTTTATTCTTACTAGTATCAAATATGTTTATGATGAACTTGGAAACTAGATTCTTTGTGCCATGTGAACCTATTGCATACCCTTAGGGTAAGTTTATCCCTAGTCTTAAGATGAGTCTTTAGACAAGTCTTGAGCAAGATTCTAGCAATAATCTCTATCAAGACTACATATAGTCTTGAGATGAGTTTTGGATTCTAAAACCCATCTTGAGACTATATAAATGGACAAAAATAATTATGTTGTCCAATAGTGAGTTGCCAACTCACCATATTAAAATAATTAATAAATATATAAATAAATTAATGTTATAAATATTAATTGGATAAGTAAATCTGGAGTGGATCTTGGAATAATGTGTGAAATTGGAGACAATCTTGTATGAGTCTGAATAATAAAAAAGTAATTAAAAGTTAGTGAAAATCTGATGTGGCAGAGTCTGAAGTAAAAGTCTCAGTCTTGGGGATAAACTTACCCTTAGCTTAATTTGTATGTAGGGTCTGTTCTCTTCAGCTTAATTTCAGGTTCAGTTCAGTTCAGTTCCTAATTTTCTTCTCTTATAAACTATTCATTTCATCAGTTCAGTTCAGTTAAGCTCCATTTAGTTAAGTTCAGCTTAGTTCAGTAAATCAGACCAGTAATATAAGAAATTTCGTAATAAAGTTTTCTCTATCGCAAGTTAATTTAACTCATAAATTTAAATTATTTTTGTGCTAAATTATTTTTAAAACAGTGATAAACATCATACTTCAATTCGAATGTTATTAATTCAGGACATAGGAGGAATTATGTTGTATCTTAAACAATGAAAAGCACTATTAATTATAATAATTTATAACAAACATATTATTACATGATGCTTGAGTTGCATAAGTTGGAAACTGAATACAACCCTAGGAATACAAGAAATTAATTCACTCCCTAATAACTTGATTTATTATGACAATACAGTCTGGTTTTTCTCCTTCTTTCCCTTAGACTACTTGCGTGCCGTTTTTCTGAACTTGTATTAATAAAATAGCTGCCATTTACCTGCAAATTAAATCATATAATTCTATTACTTGTTATTATCTCATTTCATATCTCTTAAATACATAAATATCAAAGACACAAAATAATGAAGATTATCAATGTGTATTGTGATGTAAAATTGTAAATACGCAATATATTATGATACGGATATATTATCGTCTAGGGATGAAATTTAAAACATGTTTTTACTTTTTTAATAAGATCGATACATTCATGCATGTTGCAATGCTAATATTAAGGTTTAGTAATGTTACACCAATCCTAATAATATTAGGTAGCGTTACCTTGTCAATAACTTAAAACAAGAGTCAACTCAAGCTAATAGTGGTAAGGAGGTGGGGGAGAAGTGTAGGCATAAGGAGGAGAAGGTGAATGGTAGCCAGGCTTAGGGTGGGGATAGGGGTGAGGGTACGGGTGATGGTGCGACTTTGGTGGAGATGAGTAAATTGGGTGGTGGTGGTGGTGCGGTGGGTGTTTGTGAAACGGGGGAGATTTGTAGATAGGGTGAGGTGGGTAGTAGTAGTGTGGAGGGGACTTGTACACCGGACTTGGGGGTGGATACGTGTAAACTGGTGGAGACTTGTATACTGGAGGGGATTTATAGACAGGAGTTGGTGGGTAGTATGTAGGAGGAGACTTGTAAATTGGTGGAGACTTGTATACTGGAGGGGATTTGTAGATAGGAGTTGGTGGGTAGTATGTAGGAGGAGACTTGTAAACTGGTGGAGACTTGTATACCGGAGGGGATTTGTAGACAGGAGTTGGTGGGTAGTATGTAGGAGGAGACTTGTAAACTGGTGGAGACTTGTATACTGGAGGGGATTTGTAGACAGGAGTTGGTGGGTAGTATGTAGGAGGAGACTTGTAAACTGGTGGAGACTTGTAAACTGGGGTTGGAGGTGGATAGTACTTAGGAGGTGATTTGTATACCGGAGTTGGTGGTGACTTGTAGGTTGGAGGGGGATAATACGTAGGAGGAGACTTGTACACTGGAGAAGGTGGTGGAGACTTGTAGACTGGGGTCGGAGGGGGGTAGTATGTAGGAGGAGACTTGTACACCGGGGTTGGTGGTGGAGACTTGTACACGGGAGATGGTGGTGAATAATAGTAAGGTGGTGACTTGTAACCCGGAGAAGGTTTTGGCCACGGATAATGTTCCTTAGGCTTTTTATGGTGTGGGGGCTTATCATAATGATGATAAGGTGGATAATGTTTTTTAGGCTTATCATGGTGTGGATGTGGGTAGTGTTCCTTAGGCATTTCATGATGAGCCGGTGGCGGCGAGGTATATTGGTAGGGTGGTGGCGGCGGTGAGGCATACTTGTAATCAGCCGAGATCAACAATGGCATGGTAAGGGCTACAAAAGCCACTACTAGAGTGGCCATGAGAGGGGCTATTCCTCCCAACTTTCCCATGTTTTTTTACTAAAATGTGAAGGATTTGGTTATGCTTTAACCCCAAGCACACTATCCTTTATATAGCTACAAATTTTACCTTGTCACTTTCTACGTACGAAATACAAATCTTGTATAATAATTGTATCATAAAATTAACCTCAGTAAAAAAGTTAATTATATTAATATTAATATGGTATGAAACATATTAATTGAGTTAAGACTTTGGGGGTATAATATTCTTTCTGTATTACTATAATTAGAAGTTGCTTGGGTTGAGGCTGCAAGCTCTGCAAAAGGTATCAATTATTTGGTGTAGCCTTCCTCTTCTATGATATTTTTATTTAATTAATTCGCCCAGTTTTCTGGATTTTTGTTGACTTAGGTTATCACAGGAATATTGTATAAGCTCTCTTCATACCATGCATAGATGCATATGAAGTGATAATCTATAAAATTAATAAACACTCTGAAAATATAATAAATACAAATTACCTACTATCCTTTAATAAGTGGGCCCCCATAGAATAGCTTATTTGATCTGCAATTTTTTTTAATATAAAGTTTAGATATTTACAATTTAATTTACCAAAATTATGTAACATTTCTTTCAATTTTTTTTTTTTTTTGGTAGTTTAAGAGCAACAAGGACGAGTGAAGAGATTCAATTTCAGGATCACTTAAAATCGGAAGAAAATCTTTAACCATTTAATTGAGTTATCCCTCACTCTCTCAATTATGATTTTATAAATACAGATTATCATAACTTTTTTTTTTGAAACCACAAATTATCATAACTTTGTATAATTGTATTGATGTGTTTTTAGTCTTGTCACCTTAGCTTAATATATAAAGCAATGTGAGAGAGTAACACTGAAATTGTTTTTTTTTTTTTGAGTGTATGATTATATATATAAGCAGGCAGCTATGTAAATAAGATTTTAGCTTAGATATTACATAAACATTTCCAAACTTAGCTAGCTAATTGCAACTCACGGGTTAACATTATGCACATTTTTTTTTGGTTGTTGCTGTTGTTTAGAGAGCCACAAGGGCAGGGTGAGATCGATCCCAAGATCTCTTAGAAGCGGGAGGGAAACTCTAACCACTTGAGCTATCTCTCACTCTCTATGGAAATGTTGTATTAATATACGTAATAATGTCTAGCTTTGAACTAATATTTGGACTGCATTCAGAATATAATCTTTTTGAAGTAACGTTTACTGCTATGAAATCAAATAAAATATTCATTCAATTAAAACTTCAATTTGAGAGTTGAGTTCCAAAATTTTAAAACTTCAAACTTGTTCGTTCGCATACGTTTATATCTAAACTTTCCTCCAGCTTGATTAGTTAGATAACTTTCTTACAAATGGAAATAAATGATAAGAAAAGAAATATATCAATCAAGAAATCAATCGACTATTTACAAGTTAAGTTTGTTGCTATTACAATACTCCTTTGATAAACAAATTCTTCATCAAACCTCAGCACCTCTATTGTATTTCTAGGTACACTTAAAGGTAACTAAAGATTTAATTTTATTTTTCCCCATCATTTAGAGAATTTTGAACGAGCGAAACTGATAAAATAAACATACTTAAAACACGTACAGACGTACTCATGGCACACCTAAGTCGATCTATGTATATCAAGGATCAACTAATAATTTGTCATTAAATAATCTATGGACCCAAAAATTAAATTATATACACTCCATGTTAATTAAAATCAATAAATATGTAAGAGCTAGATTGCGTAACTTCACTAACAAGTCATGGAAGATTACAACAATTATGTGTCATATGAATATACGATAACATTTATATTGTTGTCCCTTACAAAAATTCGATACATCTTTTTTGAAAACAAAATTCAATACATCTTAGTTGTAGTTAAAATGAGTAATTATTCCTTCTAAAAATGTTAATGAGATGATTAAAACTTTAAGCTCAAGATAGTTCGAGTTTAGCCTAATTAATGAAAAATCCTAATTTATGATTAGGTTATGTACTTAGATTTATCAATCTACTTACATGTCCTTTAGCTCCCCTCCTTCTTACCTCCCTCAAAAAAATACAAATTCGCTATATATATAATTAATTAGTTATACATACAAAATTTCAGGTGCACCTAGTGTACATTACTCTTTGTAATATAGTGTAACAAACTGTTTATCGTATGAATTGCCCGTTCTGTAATTAAGCTAATGATACGCTTGGATTGAGAGTAATGTATTACTAGGGTGGTAAAAGTCAAACTAAACAAAATAAAAGTTAATATAGAGCATGAGGAGATAATGACGGTGTGACTATATGAAGTTTATGTAGTGGTGGTGTTGAGATAAGTAAGTGAAGAAAGGAACCCTTATTTTGGGGGAAGGCATTATTGAAGATGATGGAGCCATACCCCAAAAGCAAGAACTAATCTTAACAGTTTAGCAAAATTTAGAAAGTTGATCAATTAGTTGATGCCTAAAGAGTTTGGAAATTACAACTATTATTACATCACAATCCTTGATAATTTAATCTTTGTTTGTGATGTAATAATAGTTTGGCTCCCATCTTCTTAATTGAAATATTACATCACAATACTTGATTAAAAAAAATTGAATTAGTTGATGCTCACTGGCACCATCATCATAGTTTGGCTCCCGTCTTCTTTATTGTATGATGTGGTTTTGTCCTCCAGAGTTTGGAAGTAGGCCTTGAATCAAAGGTATGCATCAAAGTTCTCTGAGTTATATATTTTAATCATTCACATGATCTTTTGTTCGGTATGATCTGATGTATAAGAATTGTGTAATGGTTTTATCATAATGTTACCACAATTGATTTTTAAGATAAGTTTTTAGTAACATGTTCTTTTAGGTATTAATCAATGTCTAGTTAAAAGAATTTGCAAAAAAGAAAAACAACTTTTCTACAATGCAAGTTATTGATCTTGTAGTTTTCATTGTTAATTTGTCATAATCATTTATATTATAAAAACTAGGTTAAAATCCCGTGCAATGCACGGTTGTTGAATTTTTTTTATAATAATATTACAAAATACTACATAAAGTATATAAAAGATATCCAAAAATCAGGAATATTTGGGTATATATGGAATATGATTGTCAAACTGGAAAGAAAATCATAAAGTATAAATAGTTTACTTTTAGATTTTGCACAAAAAAGAAAAAAAAAAAACCCTACAAAAGAGGCTGGAAATTTTTTACAAGGTAATGACAAATATAATGGATGGAATCGCTTTTAGTATAGGTTAATAGATGGTTTCAAAATCATTTATTATTTTTAAAAGGAAAAAAAATTGTTGTAAAAGCAAATAAGGTAGGATTTAATCTAAAACTTTAAGTATTTATATAAGATGTTATTAGATTACTTATATGATTTACCTTGCATTAAGATGATATAATATTTGCATTTAATGTTAATAACTTAATCCTAAATAATATTTAAGAATTTTTGGATAATAACAATGTTATATACTTAAATTTACTTATTATACATATATAAAGTTTATTTGTTGAATTATTCTTATTCGTTTAATTTTTAACAATGTATCTTTTTGTTATATTTGAACCATAGGTCATTTTAAATTTAATTTTCAATCATTGTCTCAGATACTGCCTGACACGAATTCTTTGTTATTTAACCTTGCAAACTTTTATTTAGATCCATAAGATCTATCTTAGTAGCCCTTTTTTGTATGAAGACATTAATTAGCTTAGAGATAGGCCATCTTTTTGCATTGTAGAGTGACATTCAATCATCCTTGCATTTTCGTTTTTTCTCATCAAGAGTCCAATTGCTCCGACTAATCTAAGAAAACTAATAAAGCTATTAATTAATGGGGAAGCTAACATTAATATAAGTGGGTTCAAATCAGTTAATAATGACTCTTAATGTAATGTAAAAATTTATTCATGAAATTTAAATAATCAATAAGAAAAATATATAAATACACTTTTGTAATGACTTTCAAAACTAAATGATAAATTTTAAGCTATGCACGAGTATTATATTAGATATAAAACTGGTAATTAATGAATGAAATAGTATATGTTACTTGAAAAATTATATTTAAATTATTTTTAGGATAACAAATTATATGCAATTGCACTTATATTGCACATATATTGGACACATCTAAATATATCAAATAATTTAGTGTTATATTATTATTACATTGTTAATATTTTCATATATAAATCAAAGAAGTAATGATGAGTCATAATTATAATATTACCAAGCTCTTAAATCAAAGGATAGAATAAAGACAATAACTCACTACTACAAAAATAGGCTTAGAGAACTGTTGAAATAGGCTTTATAGAACGCTTTAGGACCGTTCTTCTGCTAAGCGATATGTAAAGTTTATAAAACGGGTAAATGAGGTGTTTTGTATCCCTCATTAAAGAGAACGGTCATTAGACATAACCGTTCTCTATTCCCCCTCCTGAAATCTAAATGTGTAGATGGAAAAGGCAACAGTTTCCTTGCTTAACCGTTTTATATTATTATACAATAGAGAACGGTTTTGTAAGTTAACAGTCCTCTATTCTATCTTAATTATTAAAAAAAAATGCACGATATTCAGTTCAAGCAGCCTACATTTAATCTATATTTTTTAATTAAATATTAAATTAAACCAAACGGTAGAATTCCAACTCAAAAGTAGTCAGAAAAGCAATTATAATACTTGTACAATTTAAATGCAAAATTGTTGAAGTATTGATAGCTTAACAACAACAGAAAACAATATACTTCGTAATTATCAACTTGAAATCTTCTATATCAAACAAAACTACCAATACAACTCAACAAATCTTCTATATCAAACAAAACTACCAATACAACTCAACGAAATTACTGATACAATTAAAACGCAAAATAACTAAGAGATGATTTTTTTTGCAATAATTTGTACGCAGTTCTTCTCCTCTACCGACCTTTGATTAATCTGTGTTAAAAAAAAATCATTCAATTACAATCAACCCAACCAAAAGAAAAAAAAACAATGCAATATATAAAATTGCACAACACTTTATAATTAACCCCAAAATCAAGATCTAATTAAGAAGAATCAAAATCAACCATTGGCCTCTAAAAAAAAAAAAGAAAAAAGAAAAATCAACGATTAATATCAGAATGATCCATTACTCTCAACATTCGCCATTGAATTTCTAACCGAAGATTCAAACGTTGAACTCGCTTCTTCCAATTTTGCCGTCGTTGTTCATGGATTCTTGCCTTTTCAAATCTGCCATTGCTGCTCTGATTATCAAAATTCAAAAACCCCAACACAACACAAAATTGCCGATCAAATTATACGGAAATTTTGTTCAATTATTGCGAAAGACTCCAAAAAGAAAAGAATTAATTTGGATAGATTTCGCCACAACAGGACAACAAATAAAACCTCAATCATATCAAATAACTTCGAGGACGGAGCAATTTAATTAAAATGGTAAAAAAATTTGATTAATTGAAAAATAGAATCAAACCTTTATAGCCTTTGAGTTCTTGATCTGTGGTTGTGCAAACCCTTATTTTCCAATATTTTACAAGAGCAACAAAAATGGGAACAAACATTTAGATCTAAAAATTTAAATTATGAGAGATTGCATATATATTTTCTAGTTTTGGAGGAGGAAGAGTCATAGCATTTCATAAACACAAGTTTCGGAGAGAAAAACAAGAAAAAGGCAAGTAGGCAACCATTTGTTGAAATATTATTGCGAAAGTAATTTTAGGGTAAAAGGCGCACAACGATTGTAACTGAACACCGTTTTATATCTACTTCATTTTTTTATTTAATAATTTTTAATTTGTGTAAAACAAATATAAAACGGTTGGGTAATGAACCATTCTATAATATTTAACATATAAAACGGTTGGGTAGTTAACCGTTCTATAATATTTAACATATACAACGGTTGACATAGAAAAGCGTTCTAATTTGTTATACAGAACGCTTATCTTTGTCACCCGTTTTATGTTATGCGTTTCTTATTCTACTTTTTGTTGTAGTGACTTGTAATAACTTCCTTACTTTTAGCAATTTCTAACAACCTTAAAAATTTTTAGAACTAAGTAACTAACTATTAAACTAAAGACCCGAATTCTAGCCATTGTAAAAAACATTTATACAAATATTTATTTTCTTACCTGTCAAAAACTAATACTTCGTATCATCTACTACTTTTTTACAAGTAATAATCGCCATTGAATTATACAAGCATTCTCATAGGTTGAAATATGTTGACTTTCTCTAGTTCATGCTCATTATTGGAGGTTTTTATGTTGCGATAGATGCATTTCTAAACCTAACAAGTGGTTGGTTGGAAGCGTCTTTTCCGACAAAGACAAAGGACAAGGAAAGGACGAATGATCCACACTTTCGATGACAATAGGACCACTACTAAAGGTCATCAGAGCGAACATTCCAGTAGTATTAGTTTGCAAGTTAAACAAAACAATTTTCTTTTTGTATATTATTTGGGTGGTCATAGTTGGCATATTCATAGTATTTTTTGTACACAAGACACCTAACATAAAAAAATCGAAGATTGTTAGACAAGGGTGAAGTAGCCATTGGCCGTGGTTGTAGAAGAAGTATGTTAGAGGTAGTGACACATATGATTAGATAGTGTTATATTCCACTACAACATTGTGAATATAGGACACTGAAACCCATGTAATTTCTACATTAAAGTTTATTTTACATTTTTACTAGCTATATTATAAACTGTATATGTTACCTAATACTCCTTGGCACTGTAACCCATGTAATTTCTACATCAAAGTTTATTTTACATTTTTATAGCTATATTATAAACTATATATGTTACCTAATACTCCTTTCCAAGTGTATATGAATTAACATTTTCATTCCAATACTCAATCACTACTAGAATCCGGGAAAATAACGACAGATTTTCTACGACAGCTATCAAAACTGTCGTAATTTTTTAATTTTACGACAGTTTTAGTAGCCGTCGTAATGTTACGACGGTTTTTTAAACTGTCGTTGATTTGCGACGGTTTTTGGCCAATAAAACTGTCGCAATATACTGTAAAAATAATTATAAAAAATTAATATTTACGACAGTTATTAACTGTCGCCAATTACGACGGTTTTCAAAACCGTCGTAGTTTGCGACAGTTTATGGCTGTCGTAGAATTGTTTTTTTTTTTTAAAAAAATGGGTATTTAAATACCCAACAAGCTAAGCCCACACCAAACCCTAAGACGTTCCGCCGTTTTCATTTCTCCTTTCTCTTTCTCAATTCATCTTCTCTATCCTCTCTCCTCTTCCAGATTCTCTTTTTATCTGATATTTTCCCTTCTTCTCCTCCTCTCTTTTCTTATATTCTCTCTATTCTCATCCTCTTTTCCTCAGTTTCTCATCCTCCTTTCCGCTCTTTCTTGCGTTAAAAACAATGGAGAAGGTGGCGAAGGGGAATTCGTGTGTTTGAGGTTATATTTCGTGACATTGAGGTTTTGTTTTGTCAAATTCGACCATAAAAATTCCACATCTGGATTTTTTATGGTCGAATTTGACAATCAACACCCATAGAAAAGGAAATTTTCGAAGGTATGTTAATTTTTTGTTTTTTTTGTTTTTGTTATTGTGGTTTTTGTTTATATTCTAATATTTTCGGTCTAAATTCATTATTTTGTGTTGTTTGTCCGTTTGATTTTTTTTTTTTCCGTTTTTTTTTCCTATTTTTTTCGTTTGATTTTGTTATGCTTTGTTTATTTTCTTTTGATTTATTGTGGCCTTTTTGTTCAAATTTGTACTGTTAAGATAATTTGTGTTTTTTCTTTCATTTTTTGTTCAATTTTTTGTGAACTTCCGAACGTATGTTAAATATTTTGTATTTTTTGTTTTTATTATTGTTGTTTTTGTTTATTTGCCATTTAATTTTTTTTTCGTTTATTCGTTTGATTTTTTTATTTGTTTGATCTTGTTAATTTGTGGTGTTTGGAGTTGTTGGATTTTGTATTATTTTGGTTTCCTTTCAGATCTAGGGTTGTTTGCGGGTTTTAATGTCTTTTATGGGTTAATTTTGTGGTTTTCAGTGGCGGTTGGCGGTGGTTACTAGTTAAACGAGGGATGTTGTGGCTGGGTTGCTGAGGGTTTCATTTTTTTGTGTTTTTTTTTTTATTTTTTTGCGACGGCTTTTTTGCGACGGCTAGTCGTCGTTAAAGTGAGTTTTTGCGACAGTTTTCATGGCTGTCGTATTTTTGCGACGGTTTTAAGCTGTCGCAGATTAAGAACAGCGACAAAAAATTAAACTGTCGTTGAAAAATAAAAAACCGTCGTAAAAAAAGTTTGCGACAGCCAAACTGTCGTAAAAATGAAATTTTGCGACAATTGATATTACGACAAACTAATTACGACAGTTGACTGTCGCAACAATGTTTTGCGACGGTTTTTGTGATTTTTGCGACAGATTTTGGCTGTCGCAAAATAGCTTATTTCTTGTAGTGAATATTTATGTGTATTAATACTCCTAAATTAAAGTATTGTGATCTCCAAAAGTAGATAGGATTTAATGAGGAGGGGTGGTGGAGAGTGTGTTAAGCAATTAGATTTTGATGATTATAAACTAATGATGAGTATCTACCTAATATGTTTGTAAAGTTGTGCATAGGAAGACAAGTTTTGTTTGAGACAAGATATAAGGAACATGAGTAATATATGATGAGCAATACAAAAACAGGAACAATGATGAACTATAGTTATATAAGTTTGATGATGGCTAAGGAATACATGAATGTAACTATGTAAATAAGTGTTTATATAAGTAAACTTCATGAGGTAAGTATCCAAGCATACATGAGGTGTGTATGTTTAGGAAAGTTTAATACATGTAAATATGATTGGGAGTCTTTTAGTTTAGTTTTTCTAGTTTACTTTTAGGAGTTTCTATGTTATAATGTTCTTTGTTTTAAAGTTGTAAAGTGTCTGTGTTTAAGTTTGTTTAAGGATCTTAAGCTCTTTGTTGTAAAGCTTCAGTTTATTTATTTTTAGTTTTTCTTGGTTGATTTTATAAATACAAAATGCATTGATTTAAGGTTTATCAGTTCTCTCATTTAAAGTTAGTTTTAACAACAAACTTCAATCTAATGTTCTCTTGTGTGTTTATGTGTAGGTAATAACTGACGTAGTAAGCTAAGAGGATTGAAACATTGAAAATTACAAGAGGAACAAGAGAGAATAAATGAACCTAAAGCAGGTTTTTCCATGAGAAGAAAAATAACGAAGAAATGTGAAGGTATTCTCCAACTAGACCGGCCCCAAAAGGAGATGTTTACAGGCTTTCCCACAAGAGCCAGAGCACGATCCGTAACAGGTTCATAAGGTATTTCCTAACATGTACAACAATTTCTCCCTGACAAGAGTGCATGTGACAACAAGTTCCAAAAGAGAACTTTGTCTACAAGTTCTAGCAGATAATAAGGAAGACTGATAAGAAGTTCTAGATAGGAACTTAACCCGCGGTTCCAGAATACATTAGGTTTGTATGAGATTTAAGAACAAGATCTGTAGAGAAGCAACATAAAGATGGAAACATAGAAAATATAGACGTATATTTTTCTAGGATTTATGTAAGTATGTTGGTCAAGAAAGCCTATTTAATTGGAATAAATCTATGGAATCAAGTTGGAACTCTCGACTATCAATAAAATTAGAGTTTCTGACATGCAAGGAATTTAGAAAATGTCTGAGTTTCGAACCTAAAAGGAACCTAAATCTGCATTCAATAAAAGTCGGTTTCCATGATATATATCTTAACTTAGTACATGTCTATCTTATAGGGATTTAGGTTTACTTAATAAAGATATTTATAGTCTATTAAATATCTTTTGGAACAAGATAAGTTTATTTTAAAAGATAAAAAAGCATTTCAATTAAAAATATGATTAAGTTATAAATAAAATTAGATTTTTTTTTTGTTAATTATTGTTATTTCGGATGATATACTACAAGAGGGCCGGGGGGGGGTGAATTGTAGTATGTTCCTAGTGCCTACTTTTCGCTGAATATAAAACTGATTGCTGTTAGTAACTTAAACAATGCAAAGCGAATTTTACGAGGAAACCATCCAGGGCCCAAATGGAAGTAAAACCTCTAACTTCCAAGGGATTTCAAGCCAAACCAATCCACTATAATAGGGCAAACACACAAGTTACAACCTATTATACTCAGACCTTTACTCACAAGTTCCTGACTAAACTTGCTACTTGATAAGACCTTATCTTACCCAACCTAAGTCCCACACTTAGATTCACTCGTACTCCTTGAGTACTACCCACTGGCCTCTCACTAAAAGCTCAATCGGCTTCACCCTAGAAGCTCACACATTGCACTCTTACAATAAAATTATAATAACGAGAATCCTCACGAACTCTCACACCCCAATACATAAAACACTCAAAACCTTTTTTCCCAATTAGAAGATCTCAAAGAATAACTCTAAATACATATCAATGAATAAAGAGATAAAACTAATATGCTAGACACTCAAGATCTGTTTGGAACTTACTGGACGAACTGAAACCAAACCTGACTGGAACTTTGACCTGGATGTTTGACTTAGCTTCGTGGTGAAGGATAAACCATTAAGCACGACCACTAACACTACTAATATTCGGTCAAATTACAACCATTTTTTTACGATCGTCATTAAAACGGTCGCAAAATATAATATTTGCGACCGTTTTTAAGGCGGTCGCAGATTTGCGACCGTTTTAAGGCTATTTAACGGTCGCAAAAGTGTTTAAAAATTTCTTAAAAATTATATACATGTTAAAAATAATTCTAAAT